CAGCTCTTCAGCTCAATGCTAGCACTCTACCACTTGAGCCACAGCGCCACTTCCAGCTTTTTTCTTTTTGCTTATGTGGTGCTGAGGAATCGAACCCAGGACCTCAGGCATGCAAGGCAAGCGCTCTACCACTGAGCCACCTTCCCAGCCCTAGCTGAGTTTCTTGACCTCTCTGGGCCTGAACTTGCTTCCATATCCATAAAACAAGATGAGCCAGGGGCGTGTGGCTTGCCTGTAGTCTATCCCAGCTTCTCAGGAGGCTGAGCTCTGAGGATCGAGGTTCAAAGCCAGCCAGGGCAGGAAAGTCAGTCTTATCTCCAATGAACCACCAGAAAACCGGAAGTGGTGCTGTGACTCAAAGTGGTAGAGCGCTCGCCTTGAGCTGAAAAGCTGAGGGACAGTGCCCAGGCCCAGAGTTCAAGCCCCATGACCGACAAAAAAGAAAAGAAAAGAAAGAAAAGAATTGTGTAAACTGCCTTTATGATAAGGAGTAAAAAGTATTAGCGCCTGGCTGCCCTGGGGGCCAGGCCGCGTGCCCACCCCGCCCCTTCTCCAGCTGCAGAGTGAGCAGCTGGGCCTGCGCGCCCCGCAGTGGATCCGGGACAAGATGGTCACCATGTGCATGCGCTGCCAGGAGTCCTTCAACGCGCTGACCCGCCGGCGCCACCACTGCCGGGCCTGCGGCTATGTGAGTACCTAGGGGAGCCCGGCCTCCCTGGTCCCACCCAGGCCTCCACCTTCCCTGTGCAGATCCTGCTCCTGGCCCAGCTCCTCCCCCCGGGCCCCCCCCCCGCCGTGTTCCATTTACAAATGGAGGGGGTGAGCCTCAGGGGTCAACAGACTCTAGACACCCCAGTATCAATCTTCCCCCACCTGCTGTCTGACCCTGCCTGCCCCAGGCCCCAGGACTAAGGTCAGGAGACAGGCAGGGTCCCAGATTACAGGCAAACTACTCCCCAGCAGCCCCAATCCACCACCCCACATATGGGGGTGTTCCCTTTCCCCCTTACTTTCCCTGCCCCCTGCAGCCCTAAGAGAAAGAGCCAAGTGAAAGTCCCTGAGTTCAAGCCCCAGGACTAGTACACACCACACTTGCTCCTCCACCCCCAAATACACACACACACACACACACACACACACACACAGTTACAGTAAATAAAAAAGCCAGGTGCTGGTGCTTCACACCTGTAATCTTAGCTACATAGGAGGCTGAGATCTGAGGATTATAGTTCACAGCTAGCCAGGGCAGGAAAGTCTGTGAGACTCTTATCTCCAATTAACTACAAAAAAAAAAAAAAAAAGAAGCAGCAGCAGCAGCAGCAGCAGGTGGGAAGGTAGCTCAGTGGTAGACACTTGCCTTGCATGCATGAGGCCCTGGGTTCAATTCCTCAGCACCACATAAGCAGAAAAAGCTGGAAGTGGTGCTGTGGCTCAAGTGGTAGAGCGCTAGCCTTGCGCTGAAGAGCTGAGGGACAGCGCCCAAGCCCAGAGTTCAAGCCCCACAACTAACAACAACAATAAAAAAAAGCCAAGGTAGAGCTATGGCTAGCCTTGAGCATAAAAGTTCAGGGATGGCATACAGGTTCTGTGTTCAAGCCCTGGGAGACACACACACACACAATAGATACATACATATATATATGTATACATATAAATATAAAATAAAACACTCTGAAGGCAGTGGAAGGCTGTTGGGCCTCGCCCTGACATCTGTGTGTTTGGGTGGTGGTGAGTCACCTTCTCGGTGGCCCAGGGGCCAGTTTCGGTCAGCCCCGACCACGCCCTGTGAAGGTGGGGTGAGGGCTGGGCAGGCTGGTACAGAAGGTGGGGGGGGGAGGCAGGAGGAGGGTGGGGTAGGCAGGGCTGGAGGAGGGGCTGAGCTTGCTACTTGACCACCCCTGCACCCCTGCACCCCTCCCCTCACACACGTTTCCCATCTACCGGCAACAACTTGCAGCACCCACTTCTTTTTTTTTTTTGGCCTGGGCTGCAGCTTGAACTCAGGGCCTGGGCGCTGTCCCTGAGCTGCTTTTGTTCAAGACTAGCACTCTATGGCTTGAGCCAGAGCGCCACTTCCAGCTTTTTCTGTGTATGTGGTGCTGAGGAATCGAACCCAGGGCTTCGTGCATGCGAGGCGAGCACTCTACCACTGAGCCACCTTCCCAGCCACCTTCCCAGCCCCTCATTCTTCTCTGCGGCTCCCCATGGCTTACCATCTCCCCAGCGTCATCCATTAACATGGTGCCCCCCAGGCTTGGGATCCTCCCCACCCCCACCCCCACCCCCTGCAGGCCCTCCACACGTGTGCTCAGTGCCTGGGGTTGTGAGGGCACGGATGCGAACTCTGCACGGGTCCTAAAGCCCAGTGTGGCTCTGCAGCCCAGCGGAGCCGGCAGGACAGCCAGGCTCTGTCCAGGTGGCCGGCGCCCGCCCAGGCCCACGGCGCATGCTCACAGCCGCACGCTCCCGCCCTCCCAGGTGGTGTGCGCCCGGTGCTCCGACTACCGAGCCCAGCTGAAATACGACGGCAACAGGCCCAGCCGGGTGTGTGTGTCCTGCTACGCGTTCCTCACTGGAAGCGTGCTCCCCGGGGACAAGGACCGGAGGCCTGGCATCCTGGAGGTGAGGGGCTCCCCATCCCCTGGGGCCTGCCCCCCCCAGCCCCGCTGGCCACACAGGGGCTGTCCCCAAACCGAGGTGAACTGGGCTGCAAGGTGTCACCCGAACTCTCCTACTCCACCTCTATGTCCCCATCCATTCGCCTCCCACAGTCCCCTGTGTCACTAATTCCATCTTTTGTTGTTGTCGGTCTCGGGGCCTGAACTCTGGGCCTGGGCGCTGTCCCTCAGCTCTTCAGCTCAAGGCGAGCCCTCTTACCACTTGAGCCCCAGTGCCACTTCCGGTTTTCTGGTGGTTTGTAGGAGATAAGAGTCGCACGACTTTCCTGCCCAGGCTGGCTTTCAACCTTGATCCTTAGATCTCAGCCTCCTGAGTAGGTAGGATTGCAGCACCGATTCCATTTTACAGATGGGCACACTGAGGCTCCAGGCAGATCACAGACTCTGTATTGACTCGAAGGTCTCCCTTGGAGACCAGGTGCAGGGAGGTGACCTCGCAAGTTCGCACAGCTGTCCTGAACTTTGGTGTTGTGCTGTTTTGTGCCACTCTGGGGCTTGGACTCAGGGCTTGGGCACTGTTTCTGAGCTTTTTTGCTCAAGGCTAGCACTCTCCCACTTTGGGCCACAGCTCTACTTTTGGTTTTTTGGTGGTTGATTGGAAGTGAAAGCCTCACAGACTTTCCTGCCAGGGGTTGTCTTCAAACCAAGATCCTCAGATCTCAGCCTCCCGAGTAGCTGGGATTACAGGCGTGAGTCACTGGTGCCCACTGTTCTGGTTTGTGCCCCCCCTCCCCGCATTCTCTGTTTTGCTCAGGGCCTCAGATCCTGGACCCCCTCACAGCTGCCTGCTGGAAGTGTTGGGGGGTTTCACCCTGAACCACCAGTACATCGGCCTCGGCTCAGACTCTTGCTGCCCTCCCCACCCAGTTCTGTTCCCCAGCACTCACAGGGGCCCAAGCCCAGGCTGCTGTCCGACACCGCGGTGCTGTCCCCTGACTGTCCCTCTTCCTGCTTTTAGAAAGGGGCCTCCCCAGGGCCTGAGCAGAGTGTGATCTGCGGCTTCCTGCAGCTGACCGGGGACAAATGGAGCCGGCCCGGCCCCCGGGGCTGGTGCGTGATCCCCAGGGATGACCCCTTGGTACTCTATGTCTACGCTGCCCCTCAGGTAAAGCCCTGCCCGCCCTTCCTGGGTGGGAGAGAGTTCGCCCCCGTGTGGCCAGGGAGGAAACTGCAGTCCAGGGGACCTGAAACCCTCAAGTGGCCTTTCAGCGCTGGGTCCAGACTTGGGGTGTGTGGCTGGTGGGGGAGGGGCACCAAGAGGCAGAATTGGAGAGACAGCAGCAGCCCACTGCTCTTTCCTCCCCAGGACACACGAGCCCACGCCTCCATCCCCCTGCTGGGCTACCAGGTGACTCGAGGGCCTCAGGGAGATCCCCGAAGCTTTGAGCTGCAACAGTCAGGCCAACTCTACGCCTTCAAGGCCGAGACCGAGGAGCTGCGGAGCCGCTGGGTGCAGGCCATCGGGCGGGCGGCCAGCGGCCGGATCCCCGGGGAGCCTGAGGATGGGGACCTGTCGGACTGAGCCTCAGCGAGTGCCCCCCTCCCCCGCAGAGACGGACCCCTGCCAGTGGCTTGGCCCCGCGGCCTCTGCCATCCACCCAAAATCCAGTGTCAGAAAATGTGAGGCCAACAGAGGGTCTGTGACTCCCACCTGTAATCCCAGCTACTCAGGAGGCTGAGATCTGAGAATTGCAGTTCAAAGCCAGCCCTGGCAGGAAAGTCCCAATGAATCACCAACAAAAACACAAAACAGAAGTGGAGCTGTGGCTCAGGTGGTAGAGCACCAGCCCTGGGTGGAAAAAGCTATGGGAGCCGGGCGCTGGCAGCTCACACCTGTAATCCTAGCGACTCAGGAGGCTGAGATCTGAGGATCACGGTTCAAAGCCAGCCCTGGCAGGAAAGTCCATGAGACTCTTATCTCTAATAAACCACCACAAAACTGGAAGTGGCGCTGTGGCTCAAGTGGTAGAGCGCTTGCCTTGAGCTGAAGAGCTGAGGGACAGCGCCCAGGCCCAGAGTTCAAGCCCCACAACTGACCAAAAAGAAAAAGCTATGGGAGAGTAGGAGACCCTGAGTTTGAGAGTGAGTGCCTGCGAAAGAAAGAAAAAGGAAGGAAGGAAGGAAGGAAGGAAGGCAGGCAGGCAGGCAGGCAGGCCGGCCGGCCGGCCCCTTTCTTTGGATGGGGCTGGCCAAGTGTCTCCTTTGCTGGGGCTCATGGACTGTTGGTGCTAACACTGAGAGGCCAGGGAGCTGGGACTGTGGTCACGCCGTGTCTCCCAGCTAGGACTGCTCATTACAATCACTCTGAAAAAGTAAAATAAAAAATACTGGTGAAAACAATTCCACACAGAGTTGGGAATGTGGCTCAGTGGTAGGGTGCTGGCCTAGCAAGCATGAAAACCCAGGTTCTATCCCTCAGCACCACATAAACAGAAAAAGTCAGAAGTGGCACTGTGTCTCAAGTGGTAGAGCGCTAGCCTTGAGCAAAAGAAGCTCAGGGACAGCGCCCAGGTCCTTAGTTCAAGCCCTAGGACTGGCAAAAAAAAAAAAAGAAGAAGAAGAAGAGGAGGAGGAGAAAGAAGAAACAACTCAGTGATAGCTGGGCACCAGTGGCTCACATTTGTAATCCTAGCTACTCAGGAGGCTGAGATCTGAGCATCACGGTTCAAAGCCAGCCCAGGCAGGAAAGTCTGTGAGACTCATCTCCAAAACTACCAGAGGGGCTGGGAAGGTGGCTCAGTGATAGAGCGCTTGCCTTGCATGCATGAGGCCCTGGGTTCGATTCCTCAGCACCACATAAGCAAAAAAGAAAAAAGCCGGAAGCGGCACTGTGGCTCAAGTGGTAGAGCTCTCGCCTTGAGCTGAAGAGCTGAGGAACAGCGCTCAGGCCCAGAGTTCAGGCCCCACAACCGGACCCCCCCCAAAAACAACAACAAACAAAAAAACCCAAAACTACCAGAAAACCAGAAGTGGTGCTGTGGCTCAAGTGGCAGAGTGCTAGCCAAAATAGCAATGTCTGTATCCCCTGCCAAGATTTCTCTTACTTGTTACGGGACACACTGAGGAGGAGAGAGGCCTGGGTGCTTTTTTCCTTTTCTGTTTTGGAGACAGGGACTTGCTGTGTCGTCCAGGTTGGCCTCAGTGCTGGCTGTGAAATGGAGAAGAGATGCCCTGCGCCGAGGCCTCCTGCTGCTGGTACTGACAGATAGGGATGGGTTCTTTTTGTTGTTGCTGGTGGTGGTGGTGGAGCTTGAACTCAGGGGCCTGGGCGCTTCTCTTGGCTCTTTTGCTCAAGGCTAGCGCTCTACCACTTGAGCCACAGCGCCACGTCCAGCTTCGTGGTGGTTAATTGGAAATAAGAGGCTCAGGATCTTTGCCACTCAGGCTGGCCTCCTGAGTAGCTAGCGCTACAGGCCTGAGCTTCCGGTGCCTGGCTTGTTGATTTGTTTTTGAGCTGAGGCTTCTCTCTGGGTAGCTCAGGCTAGGCCTCAGCCTCCAAACCCAGCCACCATGTATTCCTTTTATAATCACCAGAGCACATTGAAAGGAAGTAGAGAGGGACAGGAGGGAAGACTTGTCTGCCTTGACCCCCTCCTGGGGCCTCAGCCCCCATGCAGGCCCCCTGCACCAGCCTGGCGGGGAGTAGCCCCACAGCCACAGGGAACGGTGTGGAAGTGTGGAAATATGTCATGATGCAGTGCAGAGGTAGGGGCGGTGCTCAGGGCTCCTCCAGAAAGCCACGGACATGGAGAACCTGGGGGTACCCCCCGCTTGCTGCTGGGGTTCGGGCAGGACCGAGTGACTAAAAAAGCCTCAACTTTTTTTTGGGGGGGGGAGGGAACTCAGCGTGACTCTCTTGCCCTGATAACTCTGGGTGTCCCTGGCGAGGGGCGCTCTCATGGCTTCTAATTTCTTCCTCTGGAGCCCCCACCTTGGGAAGGGCCAGAGGTGTGGCCAGCACTCTGGAGGGGGGCACTTACTGAGGGGGTGTTGAAGGCCAAACCCAGGGGGCCCAGTGCATGCTGGACAGTGCTTTACCACTAAGGGATACCCCCCTGGACTGCCTTTTATCGCCAGCATCTACATGCACTGATTAGGCAAAGCCTGGCAAGATGCACACCTCAAGTCACCCAGCCTAGAACAACACGCCAGCCTGAAAGCACCCAGGCCCTGCTGACTCCTGCAATTGGCCCCAACTGGCACTAGGGGGCAGCACATCACAGTGGTTAGCAGCATGGCAGATGACTGGCTGAGTCCTATTGACAAGATTTTACTCCTAGTGTTTCCTAGACCACTGAGAACAGGTGTCCAGCACTCAGATCAGCCGCAACCCCATGCTTGCTACCCATCGGGCTTCGAGGTTCTCTATCAGTTGGCTCTGGCAGGGCAGGCGGTGTCAGCGTGGGCCCCTAAGCTTCGTCAGGGGTCCTGGTCTGTCCTGATTCCTCACTGTGGAGCTGACTGAGTAAGGTGTCCGAGAGTTAGGGGAATACAACCTCTGCATTGTTGTGAGGTAAAACTTACAGGCAGTAAAATCCACACGTTTTAGCCAAGCTCAGCCCCTCACTCCTATAATCCTTGCTACACTGAAAGTGGAGAGCCAGCAGATTCCAGTTCCAGGTCAACTCTCAGAGACTCATTGCAGCCCAGTAGCTGGGTGTGGTGGTGTACACCTGTCATTCAGGCTAAGTAAGAAGCACAAATAGGAGTATTTTTGGTCTAGGCAAAAAGCCAGGCACTGCCTCAAAAAGAAACTGAGCACAGAAGGCCGGAGGTGTGGCTCAAGTGCTAGAGTCACGGCTTAGCAAGTGTGAAGCCCTTCGTTCAAACCACAATATCACCAAAAAAGATTTAAAACAACAACTACCCTCTGTCATCTAAATCTGTAAGTCTGGGCCGAGACAGACCTTGGAGCGCGGTGTTCCCAGAGGCGCCGCTCCAGCCCCGCCCCTGCCTCTGGCAATCTTTGACCCGGTTTCTGAACTATAATTTGGTCTTTCCAGATGTCTGTGAATGGAAGCAGGGCTGGCGCCTGGCTGCCTGCTGCAGCCCCACGAGCCTCTGGGCTCCCGGGGCCCTGTGGCTGGCTCCCCACTAGCCAGCTGAAGGGTGCTGAGTGGTTTGGGGGTGACTTCCATGGGGGACTGTGAATAACGCTACCTGGAGTGGCAAATATCCCTGTGGTGGTGTGTGTGGGAGCGTGCGTGTTCTTCTCTCATGGAATTGGGTCACCGGGTTATACAGTGAACATGTGATTAATTTTATTTCAAACTCCAAAGCTTCAGAAGCAGAAGGATGAAGTTTGAGGCTAGACTGGGCTATGAGAGACACTGGTCTCAAAAAAAAAAAACAACTAGGGTGAGTGGCTGAGTGGTAGAATGCTTGCCTAGCATACATGAAACCCTGGGTTCGATTCCTCAGTACACCAAAAAAAGTCAGAAGTAACACTGTGGCTCAGTGTCAGTGTGCTAGTCTTGAGCAAAAGAAGCTCAGGGACAGTGCTCAGTTCAAGCAAAGGGATTGGCAACACACACACACACCAGCCAACAAGCCAGGTACTGGTGGCGCACCCCTGTAACCCTACCTAATCATCCTAATCAGGAGGCTGAGATCTGAGGATCAAGGCTCAAGCCAGTCCAAGCAGGAAAGTCTGTGAGACTCTTATCTCCAGTGAACCACCAGAAAACCAAAAGTAGAGTGGTGGTTGTAAGTGGTAGAGTGCTAGAATTGAGTGGAAAAAGCTCAGAGACAGTGCCCAGGCCCAGATTTAAGCCCTACAACCACCACCACCAACAACAAAGTTTACAAATGTAAAGAAACAAGAACCTTTCAGAGTAACTCTACTACAAATGGTAATCATTGGCATACTCACTATGTGTCAGTACATTTTTTTTTTTGGCCAGTCCTGGGGCTTGAACTCAGAGCCTGGGCACTGACTCTGCGCTTGTTTTTGCTCAAGGCTAGCGCTCTACCGCTTGAGCCTCAGCGCCACTTCCCGCTTTTTCTGCTTGTGTGGTGCTGAGAAATCAAACCCAGGGCTTCATGCATGCAAGGCAAACACTCTACCACTGAGCCATCTTCCCAGCCCCAGTACCTAGCGCTTTCCCAACCCTGGGGCCGCGGGCATCACAGGATGGGTGCATGGTGCCAATATGAAGAGCCCCAGGCCCTGCAGCAGGTGCGCTGAGGGACCCGGGCACGCCCCTCGCGCTGGGACACGCCCCCTCGCGCTGGGACACGCCCCCTCGCGCTGGGACACGCCCCTCGCACTGGGGCACGCCCCTCGCGCTAGGACACGCCCCCTCACGATGGGACGCCCCTCGCGGTGGAGCACGCCCCTCGCGCTGGGACACGCCCCCTCGCGCTGGGGTACGCCCCCTCGCGCCGGGACACGCCCCTCGCGCTGGGGTACGCCCCCTCGCGCCGAGACACGCCCCTCGCGGGGGATCACGCCCCTCGCGCTGGGGTACGCCCCCTCGCGCTGGGACACGCCCCTCGCGCTGGGACACGCCCCCTCGCGCTGGGACATGCCCCCTCGCGCTAGGACACGCCCCCTCGCGCTAGGTCACGCCCCCTCGCGGTGGGGTGGCGGAGCGGAGCCTCCTTACTGGGTTTCACGAGGAGACCAAACAAGGCAATGCAGGCCGGGACCCAGCCCACACACAAGCAGGAGCTCAAGAGCTTCTCGCCAGGACTTTCAGGC